TATTTCATATTTTATCACTTGGACAATCTCCAAAGGTGAACTGGGGTTTAGGTTACAAGGGTGCTGCTCCAGAAAATCAAGCTAATCCAGTTAATGTTATCAACTTTGAAATAGATACTACCTCTCACCCTGAAAATAGCTCAAAAGTTGAGAAAACAATTATATCTGCACCTGTGGAAAAGGAACATAAGGCTCGGACAAAAGTTCACCCTCCCAAACCTGCAATAACTCGGAGGAATGGATGTTTGTTTTGTGGGAATGCTGGTCATAAAGTTGCTTTCTGTTATTCTCAGAGAAACCAGATTGAGAGAGCTTGGAGGATGAACCTTTGTTATGTGGAACCCAAAAGGTATGGATATGTATGGATAGTTAAGAAGGATTTGTATCCTAAGTTTACGAAATGTGTGTCACACAAGCATACCAGTGTGTCATACACTCGAATGGATGATCAATATACTGAACTTGAAGAACCAGTTCGATGGTCTAGGAGGTATTGAGAGTTTCTGATGTCCAACAAGTATCATGAAGTTTTCACAGAGTTTTTCACTAAAGCATAGGGAGATGATACTTGATTTCAGGGGGAGTTTGAAATTTATTTTGATGGGATGTACTATGCACAGTTTGTTTAGAGGTTAGTGAGCTTGAGTTGTAAAACTCAGTGAAAAAGGGGGAGAATGTAAGCTCAAGTATTTAGAGCTTGAGAAGTTGTTGCAGTGGTGGAGTTTTGGTTCGCGTACTTGTGTTACACACAGAGAATGGTGTGTAACACACGCTTCAGAGAATAAAAAGGAATCATCAAGATGTGGAGATGTGGATATTTCTATATGTTTGGTTGACGAAATTAGAAGATTTATGATGCTAATATATAGGAAAATAATATATTAGATAATAAGAAAAGATTATTTAATATATATTTTGGCTTTTACCTAATTTGGGGATTAGGTCTTTTGTCTTTGTAATTCTCAGAGGGAAACACAAAGGGTTTTGGGGTTTCATAGCTGAGTAAATTGGTAGACTTGATCAACATGTGTTGAGGCAAGCAACTTGGATGTTTTAGGAATCGATCCGTGGCGAGTCGTGTAATTCGGATCAAACAAATCTGTAAGAGATTGTGTAAAAGATTTCTAATAGAAGAGATAAGAGTTTTTTGGAATTACGGTGTGCATTGTATTTTTCGCTGTATATCGATTCTACATATTAACCTAATTTTATTTTTAATATAATATAAATTTTAAAATTGTGTTGCTGTATATCGTGAATGAACACACCTTATTTGATAATTATGTATACATAAATGGGCGGTTTATATAAAACTAATTGTTGACCAGGCGATATATAATATACTTATGACCAGATTCCAAAGAAATTAAACTAGGGATTAACTGGAAAAGATTTTTTCTTCTTTTTTCCTTTTTTTTTTGCAAAGAACTGGAAAGACTATTGAAACGGCAGACAGCTATTTCTGAGAATTTATTTATAGACCAGTACTAATGTTTCATATTCCATATGTTTCATATTAGTCTCACTTTATCTTTACGTACACAGATTAAAAATTAACTAATTTTAAATATTTTTATATAAAATATAATTATTTATACGTTTAATCATATTTTAAGCAAGAGAAAAATAAATTGTAGTATAAAATTAATAAATTTTACATTATTGAAAAATCGAAAAAGACATTTATTTTATAAGAAAAAAATATCTATAATGATATTTATTATAAAACGGTGGGAATATTCTTTTTTTTTTAAATCATATTATTTTCTAAAACAAACTAAATGTACAGCCAAAATACTAATAAGAACTATATTAGCTTTTAAAACTAAATTGAAGCTCAATATTAAGCATTTTGAATATATTTAAAATAATTATATAACAATAAGTTTTAAAGGAACAGAAAAAGAACCTATTAGAATGCTTAATAATATTGCTTTGTCAAAAAATTCTTAATATTATGGCCTGATATCTATACTATTATTTGCGAAGTGATTTTTCGCAACGGAGCTCTCACATTAAAAGTTGGAGTGGTTAATATCGATTATACCCTTAATCTATACTATTATTTGTGAAGTGATTTTTCGCAAAGGAGCTCTCACGTTAAAAGTTGGAGTGGTTAATATCGATTATACACTTAATAAAACTTTTATATATAACTAATTTTATAATTAAAAACAAAATTTAAAAAATAAAATTAGATTAGTATGTTATTATCTTAGATAACTTAGAATAAAAACGAAATTTAAAAATAAAATAAGATTAGTATGTTATTATCTTAGACTTCATTATATATTTATATATAAATTAGTTAAAAGCGAATTTTATGTTAGTGATAGAAAATTTATATGTTATTATATTAGTTAATTTATTATAAATTACTAGGATAATTATCCATATTAATGCATATTTAAAACATAAGATATCTTAGAGAATATTATACAGTTATCTGGAAATAATATTTTTAATTATGAAAAATAAAAATTTAAGTTATAAAAAAATTTAAAATAAGAAAAAATATAAATATATTTTCAAAAATATTTTATTATGGGATATTTTTCAACACTATAATAAACATATAGATTTTGATGAAAATTCATATAAAAATATTTTAATGTTTGATTTAGATTTTTTAAAACTATAAAAAATAACTTATAACTTATATGCGGGCACAACACCTAGTATTTATGTATCCGCCATAGAAATAACTGTTTTCTCATTTGGCAATTGGCATATACGGTTGTTTTTTCCGTGTTTTTATTTTTATATCATAAAGATGTTAAATGATTTAGAAATGTCATATCATAAAAAGTACCACGTTATATCACGTTGTCTTATTCTAGATTTTAAGTCAACTGAATTACTTAAATGAAAAGTAAATATCAAAGCTGTTAACTGAAAGAATTAGTCAGCTAATCAGTGGCAAGTCTCATGAGTTCATAAGAAATAAACCGAAATTTTAGCATCCCACCCACTAATTACCAAATTTTTAATAATTTTTCCTTAACACTTGGTACATCATTATATAATTTATATTATAAATGATAATAAATTACTTGAAACATATGCTAATTTTTTTCACAAAAAAACATATGCTACTTCTTACTACATTTAGAACATCATTTAAATAAAAGTTCAAAGACGTATGTGTCAGTTTTCCAATAAAGTATATTTTTATATTTATACTTAATTACAATACTATATTATATTATATAATATTTATGAGATACTTTGGTTGTGATTGGTAAAATAAAGTAAATAAAAAGTGGCTGGGTGAAAAGTAAAATAGATGGTAGATAAAAGAAAAAAAAAATCGGAGTATATATGCTTTTTTGTAAATCTTAGAGTACACGTTTTTAATTTAAACTAAATTTGATGCATTAAATTAAGGATAAACAGAGTTTACAATTGTTAGATAAAAATATCTTACAATTGAGAAAACATATATCTGAAACAATTGTATGGAAAATTAGGAAAATGTTACAAAGTAACTTAGTGGTCGATTAAGATGGCAGTTCTTCAATGCATACACGGAACATGATGACAAAAACTTAAAATTCAGAGACGCCAAAAAGGAGGTCTACGATCTTCTCGAGTCTTTTGAGAAGGATATCTTCCATCTCAAACCCCGAAAATTCCTAATGTAATGCAGCGAAAGGGCTACCAAAGATACTTTCTTCAACATTCTCTAGAATACGTAATAGGAATGAGGAATCTCCTAACTTACGAGAGAAAATCTACCCTTGCTGCCCAAAATTTGATCAGCCACAGTGTGAAAGACATTTATTGAACTGTCCAATGATATATTCTGATTCTCAAACCCTTGCCTCAAAATATGGTTTGGAGTCTCAATCATCGGTGCACCGTCTTCCAAATAGTTTGACGGAGTTGTGCGGTAAGGATTTGGATTGTTGGATCCATCTTTGCTGGCCACAGAAACCGCAATCATCCGTTCTCTTATATTTCCGGTAAAACTTAGAATGTGTTTTTCTTGTTTTGTACAGTAAATTGCTGATCGGTAACTTTTTTGCTGAAACTGGAGTAAATTTAACTTCACAGTAAATATTTTCTGTATAATACTTTAAAGTAAAAAAAAGCATTAGTGAAGAGTTTCTAGCGATACTCATTCTCTAATTAGACATTTTTTTCTAAATTGCAAAAACAATTATCACAAAATAAACTAACTAGCTATTTTTAAAAAATATTAAATTTATATAAATTTATTATTTTTTTCAGTTTAGAAAAAAATGCAAAATAATCTCTAACTCCTAAATCCAAACCTCTAAAGTCTAACTCTAAACCTTAAATTCTAAGTATTTAATTCTATGAATATATACATTTTATACAATTTAGTATTTTAGTAAATTTTTATGTGTTATTTTGAGAATCAAAATTTATTTTAGTGCTATCTAGGATATTTCTCTTCAGAATATGAAATTACTTCATCTTTCCAAATATGATTGTTTATAAAATTGTACGTTCAAAAGGAATTTATCCCTAAGTTTTTTTTTTAAATATATTTATATAAATTTTATACCGGCCTGAACAGGGAATCAGGTATCGGTTACAATTTGAATCTGACAAAATAACCGTTTTTAATCCATCCCCAACTAATTCCATTACACAAACCTAACCCGGCGCAGTTCAGTACTTGGTTACGTTCAAAAGTAATTTATCCCTAAGTTCTACCCTCACAAATCACAATTCTAATTTTACTACCTGTGTAATTCCTGTGAGATCCCTCCTCATTTATGTAATAAGAAGGATATATTGTGAAATGGCGTTTGGTTTTATCATTATCTCAAGTGCTGCAAATAGTTAAATTGGAGTGTTGGTAAGGATTAGATAGATGGAACTGTCAGAAAAGAATAATATCATAAATGTTGAACATTATTTACTAATATTAAAATTTAAACAACCAAACTAATACCACGCCCTAATTTCTTGAAAGTTTATAAATACACAAAAGGGTCATTGTGTTCTGTGCATCAAGTCGATTAAAAATGACTAACATTTCCAGTCTCTTAGAGATTCTAAGTGGTAGGGAAAACGTGGACTATGTTTTGATCGTGATCGTTCTCTCTTCTATTTTATGGTATATTCGGCTTTACGCCAAATCCAAACGTCGGTCTCATCCCTTGCCTCCTGGACCTCGGGGTCTTCCGATAGTCGGAAACCTCCCGTTTCTCAAACCAGAGCTTCACAGTTACTTCCAAGGGCTGGCTAAAATACACGGTCCCATTTTCAAACTATGGTTCGGCTCCAAGCTAGCCATTGTGGTCAACTCCTCTGAGGTGGCCCGTGAGATTCTCAAAACCAATGACGTCATTTTTGCTAGCCACGATGTTCCTTCGGTGGCTCTGATTAACATGTACGGCGGTATTGATATCGTTTGGTCACCATATGGACCGAGGTGGCGGATGCTGAGGAAACTATGTGTTAATAGGATACTTAGCAACGCCAGGATGGAAACATCTGTTGGCCTTCGTCAAGGAGAGACCAGGAGAACGGTTCGGTATCTGGCGGATCGTGCTCGGGCCGGGTCATCTGTTAACTTGGGAGAACAGATATTTTTGATGATACTAAATGTTGTGACGCAGATGTTGTGGGGAACTACGGTTGGAGATGAAGAGAGGGAGCTTGTTGGAGCCGAGTTCTCAGAATTAGTTACACTGATGAACGACCTCCTGCTGGAGCCCAATCTAGCTGACTTATTCACGTTGTTGAGCCCTTTTGATCTTCAGGGTTTGGCTAAGCGTATGCGAGGAGCGGCTCAGAGGATGGACCGGCTATTTGACCGGGTCATTAATCAACGGCTGGAAATGAATAAGGGAGGTGAAGGGAAGGGTGAGGATTTTTTGGAGGTCTTATTAAAAATCAAAGATGAAGATGATGAGAAGACAATTGTCAACATGGACGATGTAAAGGCGTTGCTCATGGTACGTAAAACATTGTCCGTATTGTAGGGGTAATTATTAAAACTAATGTTTACTGAAATATGCTGTTTTCTTTTATCAATTAGAGAATTAGAAATTTCAGTTAGGGATATTTACTAAATATTATTAGGCTCTGATATTGAATTTTAGGACCTTAGTATATATAGTTGTTTTTAGAGTTGATGGTAAACAATTTGGAGCTTTGGGTTTAGATTCGACCAGTTTCTTAATTTTAAAATATACAGCTTCAGTAAGTTTTAATATTAATTTAAAGATGTTTTCATAACTATCTTAAAGGACATGGTGCTCGGTAGTACGGATACATCTTTACACGTCATAGAGTTCGCAATGGCTGAGCTATTTAACCAACCACATATCATAAAGAGAGCTCAACAAGAACTTGACGAAGTTGTCGGTAAATATAATATAGTGGAAGAATCTCACATCCCAAAACTTCCATACATTCATGCTATTATGAAAGAGTCACTAAGGCTTCACACGGTTGCTCCACTCCTTATTCCTTACCGCCCATCTGAAACCACCGTGGTGAATGGCTTCACTATCCCTAGAGATTCAAAGATGTTCATTAACGTGTGGGCGATCCATAGGAATCCAGATGTATGGGAGAACCCGCTTGAGTTTGACCCAAGCCGGTTTCTTAATAAATCTTATGACTTCAATGGAAATGATTTCAACTATATTCCGTTTGGAGCTGGTCGTAGAATATGTCCTGGAATCGCGATGGGCGAGAGAGTTGTTCTATACAACATCGCTACGCTTTTGCATTCATTTGACTGGGAACTTCCTCAAGGAGAGAGAGTAGAGGTCGAGGAGAAGTTTGGGATCACGTTGAAGCTGAAGAGTCCACTTATAGCAACGCCTGTGCTAAGGTTGACCGACCCAAATCTTTATCTCTAGTGTCTAACTATTACACAACCAGAGTGTTCTGATGCGGACTTAAATGTGCTGTATGAATCTTTTTTTGGTCAACGGTGTTGTATGAATCAATAAAGCCGAACATGTTATATGGCTTTCGTATGTTTGCAAAGTGTTTTTACTATTGTTAACTTATTTTCTTTTCCAAGTCCCACGAGCCTTGCATGTGTTTGTTTTCTTTCTTCTCTCTTTATTTCTTTTTCTTTTTGTTCAAACCTTTCTTCTCTCTTTAGTAGTGCCCTTCGAAGATGTATGGTGCAGACGAAGCTGAAGTAGTTCAAGGACGAAGTTGAAGTAGTTCATGAAGCACGACATGAACTACTGGATGAAATGCGGAGTCGAGAGCTGAGCAAGAAAAGGAAGGAGCCTCAGTAAAGATGTGAAGATATTTATCAAGGCGTGGATGTTAAGGAAAAAGGAGTGAAGAATAAGCAACCGATGAAGAAAAGAAGAAGGTTGTCTTATTCGCTGAAACAGAAAATGGAAAGTTTCCATTGGGTAGTTTTAGGGTTTTTCTCTCTAGGTATAAAGAGAGAGTCGACTGGGTTGTAGTCGACCAACACACTGGGTGATATTCTAGCAAGGTAGAGCTTTGTGAAACCGAGCAAGGTAGACAAAACGCTCTAAGAGTTAGAAGCAATTCATCGACTAGGGTAAGTCGTGAATTGATTAGGCTAGTCAACAAGTCAAGTTGTTCTTGAGCTTTGTTGAGAATTGCTTTTCAAAAGAACTTGTATGTGCTTTTAAAAGGATTTATCTAGTCGTATTTTCTTGGGAAATATAACTCTTGGATTACTATGTGTTCTAGTTTCTGTACTACTAATCTTGCGCTTTCAATTGGTATCAGAGCAGGTACTTGTGTTTTCTTAAACAGGTAAGGATCCTGCGGAATGGACAACTTCAAAGAGTTGGTGGCGCACTCCAAGGTGATCTTGGAAGTAGGAAACTATGGGTTCTGGAAAGCCAGAATGAAGGCGACAATCAAAGGTATTGATCCACTAGCATGGAAGGCAGTTGAGTCTGGGTGGAAGCATCCTGTTGCGAGAGGTGAAGATGGTAAAGATGTATCAAAACCCGAAGAACTGTGGACTGAAGATGAGAACAAGTTTGCCAAGTTCAATGCAAGAGCACTCATGGCCATTCACTGCAGTGTTGCGAGGAAACAGTTTGAGTTGATTCAGGGATGTGAGTCAGCGAAAGAAGCATGGGATATTCTTCAGAAGCACTTTGAAGGAACTATGAAGGTGTTAAGCTGGAGAAGAGACATGCTGGATACTCGGTTTGAAGATCTGAAGATGGACGAGAATGAATCAATTGCTGATTTCAGTTCCAAGCTAAGCTCATTGTCCCAAGAAGCACTCACACTCGGGAAAAAATACAAAGAAAAGAAAATGGTGAAGAAGTTCTTGAGGTGCCTTCCTGAAAGGTTCAGAGGTCACAAATCAGCCATGGAAGTAGCTCTCAACACTGATGACATAAGCTTCGATGAGGTAGTGGGTATGATGTAAGAGTATGAGATGGAGTTAGACAGTGGAAAGAAGGTTAAGGGAATTGCACTAGCGTCTGTTGAAAAGGATGAAGCAGGTGATGATCCATTAAGTCTACTTGTGAGGAGATTTGATAGAGTACTCAGAAAAGTGGAACAAGGACAATCCTACACGAAGTTCGGTTCAAAATCCAAATCTGCTGAAGTTGAGAAGAATGTCAAGAAGTCAGACGTGAAGTGTTATGAGTGTAAGGGATATGGCCATGTGCGAATTGATTGCCCCACAGTAAAAAGAAGAGAGTTTCAATGCTTTGGATGCAAAGAGTTTGGCCATACTCAAGCTGAATGCGAGACAGACAGCAAGAAGAAGAAAGAGAAATCGTTGATTGGGATCGACGACAGCGACTCCGACAGCGATAGTGAAGAAGAGCTGAACAACTTTGTGGCATTCTTGGGCATCACAGAATTTGAGTCTGACTCTGAAAATGAGAGTGAATCAGAGAAAGAACTAACTGAGAGCTATCGAGAAATTCGCGAGACAGTACTGAGACTTGGAGCTGAGAATCGAGCACTTGAGAAAGCTAAGGAAAGTCTTGAGGCAGAATTGGAAAATGTTGGTTTGGAACTTCAACAGGAAACTGAGCTAGCCAAAGAGAGTGTGAATCTGATGAAAGAGAAGCTAGTTCTTGCCAAACAAGCAGAAGATCTCAGACAGGAAGTGATGGCTGAGAAGAAAATCACCATGGAACTACAATCAGAGTTAGATCAGCAATACAAGAAGATCAAGATGCTAACGGCACTAAACAGCTGGACAAGATTTTGTCTCAAGGCAGAACAAAGAATTCTCACATGGGACTGGGATACACTGGAAGATCAAGTAATACCACAGGCATGACCAGTTTTGTGTCTGGAGGGTTTGCTCACACTAAGGAAAGTGAGACAAGAAGTCCATCAAGACAAACGTCTGGATGTCATTTTTGTGGGAAGTTGGGTCATTACAAAAGGTTCTGTCAAAGGTATCTTGAGAAGATCAGACAATTGTGGAATCAACGGAAGTTCTGGAGAGTTGGGAACACAAGTCAAGTATGGATGAGAAAGTCAGACTTGTATTTGTCGAGTACTACAGGGTCTGACTTACGCTGTAGCATGGCTTTAGTTACGGAGGATGATGATGCCAAAGAGCCATGGTACTTTGATAGTGGTTGCTCAAGGCACATGACAGGGAATGCTGAGTACCTAGATAACTTGAAAAAGGTGAAAGGTGGAAAGGTCACGTTTGGAGATGGAGGACAAGGATCTATCAAAGGGAAAGGTGCTACAAACGATATTGAACTACCTAAGCTGGTGAACGTATACTTTGTCAAAGGTCTGAAGGCAAATTTGATCAGCGTAAGTCAACTATGTGATGAAGGACTCTCAGTGCTATTCACAGCTACAGAATGCCGAGCCATCAACAAGCATGGGGTAACAGTTCTACAAGGGATAAGAGCTGGCAACAACTGCTACATGTGGGAAAAGAAGACTAAGTGTATGAATGCCTTCTCTGCTCAATCCTCACAAGACAATGTTGAACTTTGGCATCAACGTCTAGGCCACATGAATCTGCGTAACATGGCAACTCTAGTCAACAAGAATATGATTCGTGGAGTACCTCAGCTTCAGATAAACGAGAAGATCGTGTGTGGAGCTTGTAATCAAGGGAAACAAGTAAAGGTACAACACAAGAAGGTCCCGGATGTACAAACCTTGGCCCCCTTGGATCTAGTTCACATGGATCTAATGAGACCAATGCAAATCGACAGTATTGGAGGGAAGAAGTATGTGTTTGTACTAGTTGATGACTTCACAAGATTCACATGGGTAGATTTATCAGAGAGAAGTCAGAAACGGTGGAAAGCTTCAAGATTTGGGCACTACAGTTGATTAATGAGAAAGGAGGAATCAAGAAGATACGCAGTGATCATGGAGGAGAGTTTCAGAATGAACTAATGACGCAATTTTGTGAGATGAAAGGAATAGCTCATCAGTTCTCAGCTCCCAGGACACCACAACAAAACGGTGTAGTAAAGCGAAAGAATAGGACACTACAAGAGATGGGCAGGGCGTTGATACATGGTAACAAGATACCTCAAAGGTTTTGGGCTGAGGCAATGAGTACTGCATGTTACATCATCAATAGGGTGTGTTATATCTTGAACGATAAGGACTACCAAGGAAAGTTTGATTCAAGAAGCGATGAGGGCATCTTCCTTGGTTATTCAGTAACTAGTACAACATACCGAGTGTTCAACAAGCGATCTGCCATGGTTATGGAGTCTGTGAATGTGATATTTGATGACTTGTCGGTGATCAGCTGGGATGACAACGAGTCTGATGGAGAGACAGAGACATCAGAGATCAGAACAAAAGAAGAAGTATCTGAGATCACTGAATCAGAAGGTGCTGCACCAACTGAAGTACTCCAGCAAGTACATCGTAATCATTCTGCTGACGATGTGATTGGAGGGTTAGATGAGGGACGAAAGACTCGCGGCAAGGTGATAAACTTTCGAAAGATGGTCCAGTTTGCTTGCTTTGTTTCTTCCATTGAACCTAAGACACACAATGATGCACTACGTGACGATTACTGGATTGTGTCAATGGAGGAGGAACTGGAGCAGTTCGTAAGGAATGATGTGTGGGAACTTGTGCCCAGACCAGAAGGAGTAAATGTCGTGGGAACTAGATGGATTTTCAAGAATAAGACTGATTAGCATGGAGAAGTGGTTCGTAATAAAGCGCGATTGGTGGCACAAGGGTACTCACAGGTTGAAGGGGTAGACTTTGAAGAAACATTTGCACCAGTGGCTCGTCTTGAGTCCATCAGGCTTTTCTTAGGAATTGCTTGCATCCTGAACTTCAAGGTATACCAGATGGATGTAAAAAGTGCGTTCTTGAATGGAATTCTGCAAGAGGAGGTCTATGTGGAGGAGCCAAAGGGGTTCGAAGATCACACTCATCCGCAACATGTCTACAAGTTGAAGAAAGCATTGTATGGTCTTAAGCAGGCACCTCGAGCATGGTATGAGCGTCTTACAAGCTTCTTAGTAGAAGGAGGATACATCAGGGGAAGTGTAGACAAGACATTGTTTTTTATGGAGAAAGATAAGAACATCATCATTGTTCAGATCTACGTGGATGACATTATCTTTGGAAGTACTTCACAGTCAATGGTGGATGAATTCGTGGAGAGTATGACTGATGAATTCGAGATGAGTATGTGTGGGGAGCTTAAGTATTTCTTGGGGCTTCAAGTAACTCAGTCTGAGAAAGGGGTGTTCATCTCACAGAGTGCCTATGCCAACAATCTAGTTAAGAGATTCGGACTGGAAAACAGCAAAGTCGCACGTACTCCAATGAGTACTTCAGTAAAACTTGCACGAGATGAAGCCAGTGAAGATGTTGATCCAACCTTGTACAGAGGGATGATTGGAAGTCTACTTTATCTGACAACCAG